TCTGGTAACAGATTTTATTAAACAGTCTCCTCGTGCTGCAAGTTGAGCAAACTGTCCCCTGATGTTGTTGTTGTTTACATCACATGTTTGTCTCAATGGTCAGAGGACACAGAATGTGATGTCACAGTAACAGACACTTCCTGTTCAGGCTGTGGAAACATTTCACAATAAAAGTCTGCCCTTTGCTGCAGCTTGTTGTGACTGAAACTCTGCAGCTGTTAGACACCACATGATGTTTACTGCTGCACAACACACACTCACACACACACGTACACACACACATACACACACACACACACATGTACACACACTCACACACTCACACATACACATACACACACACACACACACGTACACACACACACTCACACATAGACACACACACACTCACACACATGTACACACACACACTCACACACATGTACACACACTCACACATACACATACACACACACACGTACACACACACGTACACACACACACACACTTGCACACACACACTCACACACACACACACACACACACACATATACACACACACCTACACACGTACACACACCTTTTGGGGTCAAAGGTCACTGTCTGTTCTGTTGTTGAGCATGAAAATGATTCAGTTTGTGTTTCTGCTCTTTCTTCAGTGTCATCATGAAACAAACACATTGTTGTTGTTGTTGTTGTTGTTGTTGTTGTTGTTGTTGTTGTTGGTTTTCCAGGTGGTTGTTCATACGTTGTGAAATAAAGACATGAGGTCTGTGGATGAAACAGGTTCTGGTTGTTTAGGAGGAGCTCTGTGACGGGGGGGGGGTGGGGGAGGTCCCTCCTCAGGGTATAAAGGCCGGAGCTGCAGCTGCTGCCACCAGAACCAAGCAGACAGAGATGGACATCCAGACGGGTCAGCTGGTGCCGCTGGGCGCCATGGAGAGCCTGGAGAAGCAGCTGAGCTGCCCCATCTGCCTCGACATGTTCACCAAGCCGGTGGTGATTCTGCCCTGTCAGCACAACTTGTGCCGCGGCTGCGCCAACGACCTGTACGAGTCCAAGAACCCCTACCACTTCTCTGGAGGAACCTTCCGCTGCCCCACCTGCCGCTTCGAGGTGGTTCTGGACCGCCACGGCGTGTACGGCCTGCAGAGGAACCTGCTGGTGGAGAACATCATCGACATCTACAAGCAGCAGCAGGAGAGCGGCGGCGGCGGCAGCGAGGAAGCGCCGCTCAAGGACAAAGACGCCAAGCAGCCGCTCTGCAAAGAGCACGAGGACGAGCGCATCAACATCTACTGCGTGAGCTGCCAGACGCCCACCTGCTCCATGTGCAAGGTGTTCGGCCAGCACAAGGACTGCGAGGTGTCGCCGCTGCACGCCGTCTACCAGAACCAGAAGAGCGAGCTGCGCGCCGCCGTCGAGCTGCTGGCCGCAGGAAACGCCTGCGTGCAGGCGGCGGTGGCGCAGATGGACGACACGCGCAGGCGCATGGAGGAGAACGGCGAGCTGCAGCGGCGGCGGCTGGGCGAGAGCTTCGACCTGCTCTACGCGCTGCTGGAGGAGAAGAAGATGGAGCTGCTGGAGCGCGTCGACGGCGCGCAGCGCGACAAGATGGCGGCGCTGCAGGCGCTCAAAGAGCAGTACCGGCAGCAGCTGCAGCAGAGCCAGCAGCTGCAGGAGAAGCTGCAGCAGAACCTGCAGAGCTGCGGCGTCGCAGAGTTCCTGATCGCAGCCAAGCAGCTGAAGGAAGAGGCCCGGCAGGCGGCGCAGGCGGCCCAGCTGCAGCGGCCCGAGCCGGGCTTCGAGAGCCTGGAGCACCTGCGTGTGGAGACCCGGCAGCTGGAGGTTCTGCTGGCCAGCGTGGACTTCAGAGCGCCGCAGGACGCCGACTGAGCGCAGGACTGAATACAGCAAACGTTTTGTATTTGACTTTTTCTACTTTTCTATGTGTCAGCGTGTGACGGTTTGTGTCTGACCTGTTGTGTGAATAAAGCTCTGAGGCCTCATGAGTCTGTATTTAGCTGCACATGTGCTGCCAACGCCTCCTGGCCTTCTTTAGCTCGGTGGTGAGAATAGCGGCTATTTTTATGGCGTGTTGCGGCCAGAATAGACGCCGAGGCATGCACCTCGTCACCTCCCACCGATACCAGGTCCGAGGCTCGGGTGTCGCCTGACGGGAGCCCAGACCAGACACAAAATAAAACAAAAACGAGGCGATGAGACGAGACGCGCTCAGACTCGTCCTCTGAGCTGCTCAGGTTGTGGTTTTAGGGTTCAGAGCTGAAGCAGCTGCTCACACACACACTGGGTCGGGTCGTCTGGCAGCAGAACTCTGCTGTTCGGTCCAACTGGGTCTCAGCTGCTTCTCTAATCTCGGCGTCTATTTTGGACCGGAGGCCTGTGAAGGTTCAGAGCTGCTTCAGACTCGCAGCTTTATTTTCAGGTCACCTTCCTGCAAACACTTATTTTAAGATTCACTCTGAACCCTCTGAACCCAAAAACCATCGAATGACCCGTTCATCAGCCAGAAC